TATTCCCATCCATGTTAAGTAAATCATGGCACATGGCATCATATGTCCATTCGTGAATAACAGGAGCAATCTAGAAAAAAAATAATATAAGAAAAATTAAAAACAAGAGATTGCAATAAGAATATAAGAATGTAGAAACTATGAACCTGATCGATTGATCTATCTAGAATGAGCAACTCGCATGTTTCTGTTTGAGGAAAGTTGAAGTTTTTGAGAGCTTTATACTTGATAAGACAATTCCAAACAGCTGCAGCAAGCTTTGTAGGGATCAAATCACGAATTGTTGTCATTGTGGTAGGGTCAAGGGATTTGGCAGCACGATAACGTACAAATGGGAACTCCTGAAAAGAGTTTATATAGGTTGATAAAAAAAAAAAACTAAAATATATATCTATTTTTTTTATAAAAAAAAAAAGAAGCAAAATTGCATACCAATAATGAAGCAAATACAGTTGCAATTCGGTTGGCCATCACATTCAAACATTCATCTCCTTTTCGGGTCATTACCTCATTCCCATAAAGCTCTTCCAAAACCATTGTGTTATCGGTGATAAAACACTGTAGAGTAATAGAAATTGACTAGTCAACACCAAAAAGATAGCATATATATATTTCAAAGAAAATAAAATATTACTTTAATTGACTAAAAAGCAATTTAGTTTATCTTTATCATGTACCTGGCTATCAATGGCAAAGTACTCCAAGTTCATCTGCAAATCCGTCTCAAAAGTAAATACAAGCATAAAATCTAATTATATTACAAAAAGAAAAAATATCCAAGATGAGCTTAAACCTCTTTCATAGCACGTAAACGAGATTTTATACTTTGCTCTTTTTTTATGTAATTAACCAATTCCTTTGGAACTGATGAACTGAAGAACACGTAGGCACTGGAAGGAAAACGAAGCAAATATTAAGTAACCATAAGAAAATCCAATTCTAAATACTGTGTTTTTTATGAGATGAAAATAATGAAACATGAAAAAGAGGGAATATGATCTTTTCACATACTCTCTATAAAGAGGTGTTTTTCCAGACATGTCAGATAGGAGCATAACGACACTGCATTTTAACAGAAGCATGTGAGGATAAAAGAAGAATAAGAAAAAAGAAGCAAGTTAGGCATTGTAAATGTAAGAGTTAAAATTATATATTTGTTGTATACAGTAAGAAAAGAAAGGGAAACAGGGAAACTGAAGTAAGTAAAAGATTTTGATATACTTCTCTTTTGTTGGCTGGATGTAGTACACTGCATCCATAGTGGGTAGTGGTTGTCTTCTCTTGTTTATGTCTTCCACCACTGCAGAAAGAAGATTTAAACAGTGTCACGTGATTGATGTGAAGATAATCAACATCATTTCTTGTTTTTAAGATAGTCAAAATATAGTGAAGATCAAGAATGAAGAATTCAAACTTTCTGAGGCAGGCCTTTTACGTCTTACATGAAACTCCTTCATCTGTGATGTCTGCCATCTTGCATGAGCATGACATTATTTTAACAGTCACTTTATCCATGATCAGTACCTAACCAAACAAGTGTCAGAGACCAATAGCTATCAATAACCCATAAATTTTCAGACCAGTGTCAATCATTAGACTACAAGGTTGTAAATAATACCTTCCAATTTGATTTTGAATCTGGTCTTCTTGCTGTTCTCAGCATTTCATACAATAATCCTGCACATAATAATGATTGAATCAAATGATTGCCTTGAAAACAGATTTACAAATCAGTAACTTTTTGCCTCTGATATCAACAAAGCCGGTGAATCTGATTGTTATATATATATTCAATACCAAACAATGATAAAATCTATCACATGAGTCGCAAGTCTTTTAACAAGGTTAACTGTGTTCATTTTTATGTTAGACTTTTATATTACCGATATTCTCTCTTAACAACTCTTGGTTGAACGTATTTAAAAGGCAAACTATTATCTTAAGGCTTTGGCCTATCACAAGTAGTTTGGGATAGAATGTTCATTCTTTTGTTTAATCTTGTTATTCTATGAATAGAGGAAGAAGGTCTTCAACAAATCCAACTTTAAAGAATGGAAAAAATTAGCAATATATAAGCAAAAGGGACATGTGATGATATGCATGTGTGGTGCTCGATTCAGAAGGTCGTTACAACATAGCAAAAACTCATAACATGAACTTCTAAGCATCTAAAAGCAAGTCTCGGTTGCTACCACAAATATGTTAAAATGGGGAGGTCAGGTTTCAATCCTTGTTCGATTCAACTTCACTAAAACTTGCTGTTTGATTAGACAAATTATAAAACAAGATCAAAAGAAATACAGAACCACTTGTTTCATATATTAGGATCATTAACATAAGCTTCCTTCACCCTATTTAAGACAACTTTTCTATTTTGTTAATTAAACAAAAATTGAGGGAACTGAATTTTACCTTTCCATACAGCATATTACGGTTCTCTTTTGTAACTTATTCATTATGCTTCCAAAAACTCAACTACACTTATATCCTCTTGTTGCATTCCTTCTCATAATTATCCTAACCAATTGTTGCTTAAAAGGTGCTTTGTAAAAATGCATGCAATAAATATCATCTTCTTCCAATATTGTCACTCGGAAGTTGATATCTCCAGTGAAATATAAATTCTATTACTTATTAGAATATATTAACTTGATTTAAAAATTGATTCAAGTGTTGAAATTATAAATAATTTCCTTTGTTTTGTTTTGATTTGACGTTTTAGTAAAATACCCTTATATATAGTGGTGGAATGAATTTGTGAATTGGCACTCTCCCGATTTGAATTTGTAGCCAAAAAAGCATCTTATATCACCACAATAAACCAACAATTACAATGTTACTAAACATCATGCACCAATCAAAACAAAGATAAAATACTAGAGATGCAGTAGTAGACTTTGTTAACCTGATGAAGACTACTAAACTTAAGATACACACATGCTATTAGTATTAGCTCATTTAGTTAGTGTCCATTTGCAAAGGCACAAGGTTGTAACAATTTTGTTAGCCTAGTAAAATTACCAGAATTGTTATGTAGTGTTAGAAGTGCAAATAAGGGTAACACCACAATCTTGATTCTTGATGTCAGTTGGCACCATTAATACCTCAAAATGGAATTGTCAGGTTTTCAAGCCTCATCTGGTTAAAATCTAAAAGAGTTTCTGGCTGATTAAATGAAATGAATGAGGGAAATAAACGATGAACCATAATTTCATATAATGATGTTCTGTAAAAACTCATACAACAAGCATTACTTTTCCCAATTCCCAACATAACCATCGGAACTCGGCCTCTATAAGTCTAGTGATATAGTGAATTCAATTAATTTTAAAACACATCAGATTTACAAACGATTTCCTTAATTTTCAAGTCTCGACAGGAAACATTGTGGAGGAATTATAAGCATGAAAGTTTTCCTCTATGTGAACCTACATCCCTACAGATTTTTTTACCACTCAAGAATTGAAAGAAAACTCAAACCACAACTTCGTAAGTTCCAAATATGATCAATTCAAACAAAAAGCATACACTGCAGCTTTTGCACGACTTATTCAACTTGATCACAACCACAACTAAACTTGAAAAACACAAGTGCACAATTAAAAGCGCATATATCGTACATATAGGGAAAGACACTCACGATCACGAGTAATTTGTCTGAAGTTTTTATATTCGCTGCCTCCTTGAGACGAAGTATCCGAATCCGACATCGACATATTTGATTCAAGAAGCTAATTACTACGAAATCAGTGCGTGAATCGATCGAAGAAAACCTCAAAGTTCAACAGGAAACACAGATCGCAGCAATAGTTCTATGGTGGTTTGAAGATGGGGGAGAGAGAAAGAGAGAGACCTGAAATGTAAATTAAAGGGGTGTAAGAGTGAATATGGGTTGACTTGGTGGTAACCCGCGTTGAAATGACCCGTACCCGAATATCTGTAATGATGTATTTAACCTCTTCAGACCTATTGCTGCGCCGCGCAGCACACGCGCAGCACTTTTCATCTCGCGGCTGTTTGTTTTTCAGAAGTCTTCGGATTAAAAAACCTCTGCGCGTGCTCTTCTTGGCGCAGCACCTGTTTTGCCTATTCGTACCTCTTCCAACCTTTTCTTCTTCTTTTTTCCTTGATAAAATATTGATTATATATTATTGAAATCTTATTTCACATTTTTTTTTTGTTTTTTTTTGTTTATTCTTGTTGAAATTTTTTTTTTTTTATATTGAATAATAATAATTTGTTGATGAAATATCATTATTTTATGCTAAAATATCTTTATTTTTTGTTAAAATATCATTATTTTTTTACTGAAATATCATAAATTCTTGCCGAAATGTCATACATTATTATATTTTCGGTACTAAAAAAACTATTTTCGGATTATAAAGTCAGTTTATTTTAATTTTTTAATATCTGCAGCAGCATGTAGATGTTAAAATAACAAACACGCTTCTTATTACAGTCTGCAGCCGTTTGGTCCACCTCTTCTACTGCAAAGAGTTGCAGAGGTTGTCCACAGACTTTATGGATTTTTGCTTCAAAAAAACAAACAGCACCTCAGTCATTATGGTTTGAATATATGTCTTACTAACTTCACCACTTTGGCTTACATTTATACCATCTTTCAGCAAAATGATAAAAGATTACAATCAATTAGTTTTAAAATTTAAAAGCTTTAATAATTGTAAATCTACAATGTTCTTATAGCTGGTTATATAAATAAACAAATGAAAACGCATCAGTCACGTCTTTGGTTTCTATATACAAGTGTATAGCTGATGTAACACCAATTGTATGGACGACGTGGAAATATGGACCACTGTCGTTGTTGGGACCACTTTTTCATTAAAAACCAAACAACCATAGACCATAGTCATCTAAATTATATTATATTATTAAAATTGTAATTAAAATAATTATTAAAAGGTGGCGTTTTTGTTATTATAGGATCCAGGAAGGATAAAGTATAAACAAACAAAAATTTTAAAAAATAGATAAACGTGGATTTATACGTTATTGAAGGAAACAAATAAAAAAAATAAAAACCGGAACCTTGAAGGTAGCGTTTGTGTTATTTTAGGATCGAGGGAAGATAATCAAACAACAGTTGGTAACCTTGGTATAGTGAGCTATGGCTATGGCGAACGGTTTCACTCCCGTCAGCAATGGAGTACCCGATGAAGAATCGATTACGGCGCCGCTCCTCCACCTCCGCCGCTCCACCTCCAACAACACCTCTCAGATTGCTATCGTCGGATCCAATCCTTGCCCTATCGAAAGTCTTGACTACGAGTAAACTCTCTGCTTTCACTTTCTTACTCTCTATCTCTTGTCAACTCCACTGGATTATTGTTTGTTCGCTTAGTAATCAAGTGAAGTAAACTTCCAATGACATTCGTGAAGTAGTTCTTTTTCCACTTGACTGTTCGTGGATTCTCCTTCGAACCGACTATGATTTAACATCTCGGTTAGTCAAAATTGTAATCGAAAGTTAAAAGTTTAAACGCACACAAAGTGATTAAAGTAGGGATACGTCTTCTTATCTCTTGTTTTTGTTGTTCTCGGAGTTGAACTCTGTAACTGTACACACCGGTAACGTTTAAGGATCGCATGTATTGGAAATTGATTGATTGATTGATTGGATTCGTTTCTGATAATCCTGTTTGTTCAATTGCGACAATCATGTCTATAGAATCACCTTTAATTTTGGAGTATCTTTTTGTTCGGATTAACAATGATTGTGAATTGATGCTACCACTTTACACCTTTTAGTAATGGTTGAGTGACGTGTAGTGCTTGTATGAATAGTTTTCTTTTTGGCTTTGATCTAATCTAACCACACTTGCATATGAATAGAGGGATGAAGAACTTATGTCTTGCTATGCTAATTACTTCAATAGAGAGATGAAGAACTTATGTCTTGATATCATACCTTCTAGAACACATACAATAATTAATTTAAGCATGATAATTACTCCTATAAGCATACATGTATCATGTCAACCAAATGAAGCATTAGAAGCAGAACATATTAAGAGCAATGCCTACTTTAACAAGTAATTTTGCTAATTTACTTATCTTTTTTTTCCCTTAAGGATCATGGAGAATGATGTCTTCAAGCAAGATTGGAGAAGCAGAAGTAAGATCCAGATATTCCAATACACATCTTTGAAATGGTGTCTGTGTTTTGTTGTTGGTACTTTTGTTGGTCTCATTGGCTTCTTTAATAACTTAGCCATTGAGAACATTGCTGGTATCAAGTTTGTAGTCACCTCCAACAGGATGCTGGAAAACAAGTTAGACTTTTTCTTGAATCTCACTTTTCAATTGGTAGAAGAAATTGGCTTTCTTGACTGAATCTTTAATGCTTTTGTTACAGGTATGCAGAAGCATATCTCATATTTGCAGCTGCAAATTTAGGTCTTACTTTGTTTGCTGTTACAATAACAGCTTTTATAGCACCAGAAACTGCTGGATCAGGTATCCCTGAAGTTAAGGCTTACTTAAATGGTGTTGATGCTCCTGCCATATTCTCATTTAGAACATTACTAGTAAAGGTAACTTTGAGGTTTACATTATGTGTTTCTTCTGTTTTTATATATATATCTGTGATGTGGAAATGTTGACAGATTGTTGGAAGCATAGCTGCTGTGTCATCATCTCTTAATGTTGGGAAGGCGGGGCCCATGGTACACACGGGTGCATGCATTGCAGCTTTAACATGTCAGGGTGGATCAAAGAAATATTGGTTGACATGGAGATGGTTTAGATTTTTTAATAATGATAGAGACAAACGTGATCTTGTAACTTGTGGATCAGCTGCTGGAATTGCTGCTGCTTTTCGTGCCCCTGTTGGTGGTGTACTTTTCGCTCTTGAAGAAATGGCATCTTGGTAATTAATTAATTTCTCATACATCATGCACACACAATCACCACCAATAGCCTCTGAAAACTGAAAATGAACTTTGTTTGTGTACATTTTAGGTGGAGAAGTGCTCTTTTATGGAGAGCTTTTTTCGCAACTGCAATCGTTGCAATTTTGCTTCGTGGTTTGACCGATTTATGCTTGAGTGGAAAATGTGGACTTTTTGGCACTGGAGGTTTAATAATATATGATGTCACCTCAGCAAATATATCCTATCACTTAAGAGACGTTCCTCCTGTTCTTCTTCTTGGAGTCATCGGTGGCATTGCAGGAAGTATATACAATTGTCTTTTGGGTAAAGTTCTCCGACTTTACAATCTAATCAACGAGTAAGCTCCACTCGACCACTTCCTCTTTTGGTATAATACAAAAACATGAAAATACAATGCTAAAATAATTTTATTTATTTCTCAAACTACAGAAAAGGCACGATTTACAAAATCCTCCTCGCATGCACAGTCTCTATTGTAACCTCCTGCCTCTTATTCGGCCTCCCATGGATCGCCCCCTGCCACCCATGTCCACCTGGCGCAACCGAACCCTGCCCCACCATCGGCCGCTCGGGCAACTACAAAAAATTCCAATGTCCACCTGGCCACTACAACGAGCTCGCAAGCCTCTTCTTCAACACAAACGACGACGCCATCAAAAACCTTTTTAGCAAAGACACAGACACCGAATTCCACCCTTTATCAATCCTCATCTTCTTCATCACATGTTTTTTCCTCAGTATCTTCAGCTACGGAATCGTGGCCCCCGTCGGCCTCTTCATTCCCGTTATAGTAACCGGCGCGTCTTACGGTCGGTTAGTCGGGCTACTCATCGGGTCCACCTCAAATCTCAACCACGGCTTGTTTGCAGTGTTGGGCGCCGCTTCACTCCTCGGAGGGACCATGAGAATGACAGTGTCATTATGCGTTATACTTCTCGAACTCACAAATAACTTACTATTACTCCCACTTATCATGCTTGTTCTTCTCATTTCAAAAACGGTAGCCGACGCGTTCAATGGAAACGTATACGACCAAATCATGAGCTTCAAAGGCTTTCCGTATTTAGAAACTCACGCGGAGCCCTACATGCGACAGTTAACGGTTAGCGACGTGGTAGCGGGCCCGCTTCGCGTGTTCAACGGGATCGAGCTCGTGGGGAATATTGTCCATGTGTTAAGGACGACCGGGCATAACGGGTTCCCGGTTGTGGACGAGCCGCCGTATTCCGACGCCCCGGTTTTATACGGTTTGATTTTGCGGTCACATGTTATTACTTTGTTGAAGAAGAAATGTTTTTTGGAGAGTCCAAGGTTGGATGTGGATGCGGTTGATCGGTTTTCGGCTAGTGATTTTGCAAAACAAGGGTTGGGGAATCAGGATAAGATTGAGGAGATTGAGTTGAGTGAAGAGGAGATGGAAATGTATGTTGATTTGCATCCTTTTACAAATGCTTCGCCTTATACGGTTGTGGAGACTATGTCGTTGGCTAAAGCGCTTACGCTTTTTAGAGGTGTTGGTTTGAGACACTTGCTTGTGGTTCCCAAGACTTCGGAGGTAATTTATAATCATTGCTACATATTGCGTTTATGATTGTAAAAATGTGAAATGTTATCTTGTTTCATGTTGCAGAGACTTCCGGTAGTTGGAATATTAACAAGACATGATTTCATGCCACAACATATACTTGGTTTACACCCAATGTTGGAAAGAAGTAAATGGAAAAGATTAAGATTCAAGTTCCCGCTTTGGAACAAAATCTTTTAAAGTCAAATTAAACATTTCATCTCATATCTCATATCTGTAACAAAGCTTCCTTACAGTTTTCCTAGCCATTGAATCGGGTAACTCCATGACTCCTTCAATCTAGTATAGTATATATGAGAACTTGTTTTTTTTTTTTTTTTTTCAACGAAATATACTCTTTACTAGATTTCACATTATGATGTTTACATTAGTGTAAATATCTTGTTCAATTTTAGCTTTTCACAATAGTCACATTCATTGATTCTTGGTGTTTTTTCTTTTGTGTTAATGTGAAGTTGTATTGTATTTGGTGTGCGATAAATTAAGAGTGTGATGGATGCCAATTGGGCAAAACTTGCAAATTTGTTTAGTTTGGGCGACACATGGTGGGACAAAAACATCAATTTTTAGTATGTTCTCTAAACTTGTTAATGGTGATAAAAGGATCTATTAGTCACGTTATAATCGTTTTCAGTATATTGATTTTATTTAAAGTTGATTAGGTAAATTAACACAATTGATTAATTTAGGATCAAAGAATGTATCAAAGATAATTAGTGTTCTCTCAAAGGGATGTGGTCCTAGCCACACATGCGAGGTCAAAAAATAAATAACAAAATGGAAAATAAATGAAAAAGATATAATTATCATTTATTTCTGTCACTTTATTTATCCAAAAGAATATAGATCACAAAAATATAATATGTAATACTCTCATAATATTACAATGGGCAAAATTTTAAAATTTTTAATAATAGAATATTACTCATAGTAATAAAATATGTAATATGTGTAATATAATATTACATTGTTCAAATTTTAGAATCTTTACTAAAATTATAATAAAATATTACACACAGTATGACAATATGCAAAATTTTAAAATCTTAACAATATTCAAATAGAATTTTATAAATAGTATTTATCACGAACAATATTAAGTTAAGGTATATGATTAAAATGGTGATATTTTTGGTTTTTTTCTTAAATATAAAAAGTGAAAAAATAATTAATAAATTTTCTTTTATCCCCAAAATGTGTGGCTAAGTTCATATCATCTTGTTTCACAAAAAGAGGTCCTTCTCAAATCATGGAGTTGCAAAATTTACTTCTCTATTCGTGTTCACTAGAGACTACAAACAAGCAGTCCATTAAAATAGTTAATTTATAAAGCATTCCATTTTATACGTGTAATCACAATAGAGCATTTACTTTGAACTTTGAAGGAGTTTGTCACAACTATCATGACAAACAGTTAATTTTTTAGAGACTACTATAGAGTTGTTAAGATTAAGGGTAATTAGCTTTTCATGACAAATAAAAAGTTTCAGATAGTAAGGATGAGCCAATAAGTATAACATTTGTTTACAGAAAATGATGGGAAGAAGTTCAAAATGATATGAAAGTTTTTTTAGTATCAACTAGGATTTTACACGCCGCGCGTTGCGGCGGCAGTAATGTATTTGAGAAGTAGTAGAAAGTAAGTTGCTACATGTGGAACATGAATTTAGAAAGGCTTAATCCGACAAACCACAATAGTCTGAGGCCAAAACCATGCCAATAAAGATAATAAAACCGTATTATATATGACATGCATAATTAAGTAATATTTTTTAAGTTAACGAATGAAAGTTCAAATAATTAAAAACATATCATATGTGATCCGGCTTACACGTATAAATATAAGCACGGAAATAAAAAAATACATTTAAATGTAGAACGACAGGTACATTAATTTTTTTTAAATAAACGAATTAAAGTTTTAAATTTACGCCGAAACAATTTACGATGAAACATTGATCACCTCTAATTTATACCGATACATATGAAATGTTAGAAAAATCAGAGGGGTGATAATTGTAGGAAAAATCAGATTATACGTATTATGGGAGATAAAACAAAAGTTTAGAAAAAAAAGGGTGAAATTGACATTTTCTAAAGTTCAAATACATGGGTGAATATGATATTTTTAAAGGTGAAGGGTTGAAAATGTTATTTACTAAAGTATGAGGATAATAGCAATAGAAACTTAGTAGGAGGACTTAAATTGCCAAAAGCTAAAAATGATTAAAGAGTGAAAATGAAAAATAAGAAAAGTTGAAAGGAGTAAAAATAAAAGAAACTTAGTAGGAGGACCTAGATTGCCAAAAATTAAAAATGATTGAAGAGTTAAAATGAAAAATAGGCAAAAGTAGAAGGGAGTAAAAGCAAAAGAAATGACCACCGACTTTGGTATTTAGAATAGAATATTTAGAATAGATATAATTGGGTTTTAAATAAAATTTTATATTAAACTATTATGACAACTATCATATGTTCAATCGGCTTACATACTTATATAGTGTTCCAAAGTTTGTTATTAAATTTTTATTTGTGCACTCAAGCAATTCTTTTTTGTTTTTTCATACCATTATCATTATGGTTTAATACAATTGTAGCTTAATATTTATTATTTATTAATAATAAATAAATAAATATTATTGTATAACTAGGGTCTTTAAACAAACAAAAATTATTCCAGTTTGAGTGAAGGGAAGTATCATTGTCATGCAAAAAATTCTCAATTGATTTATAGTTTCAATTTGCAATTTTAGTCTAGACGAAGAAATATCTCTGATTTGATTTGCAGTTCGATAATTTTTTTGTGATTTTTATTTGGAATTTTCAGTGGTTGGAATTTTTGGATTTTCCAACTCGATGTTTGAAAACAATAATAATAAATACTACTTCAAGGAAAGTTTAGATCCTTATTTCTGATTTCTGCCTCAAATTTGAGGAAGCTAAATATCGGGCGTATGATTGTCAATAATTAAACACTACTTCAAGGAAAGTTTAGATCCTTATTTCTGATTTTTGCCTCAAATTTGAGGAAGCTAAATATCAAACTAAACTGTAAAAAAAGTTACAAATATCACGAATCTGAATATCTAATAAATAAATAAGATCTAATAACTAACAATTTGGATTAGCATATGCATATTACCTTATGAAGTCGGAAATAAGTAATATTAAGTTGAAATTGAAACTCTGCAAAAATCAAATAACAAAAGAAAATCAAAATTTTGAAACATAAACTCTGCAAAAATCAAATAACTCAGAAACAGTCAAACAGAAACAATATTCGATAATCCGAACCTAATCAAAACATAATGTACTAAAAAATTATAAACTAATAATTTCATAAATCAAAATGAAAAACAATCAAACAAAAAAACTAGAAATAAAAAAATCCGAAGTTTGATTAAATCTTATAGTTGAAACTGAGTGGAGAATAAGGGCGAGTGGGAGACTAGATGAAGTCGAAAAATGTGGTATTTTACTATGTACGTCGTCTTTGATCGAGATTGAGTGAAGGCGAGATCGAGAGTGAGAAAGCATATTAAGAAGAAAAGCGGAAAATCAAGATTGAGAAGCAAATAAAAGAGAACCGGTGCAATCGACAAGGGTGCATTCATGTTCTTCTTATTTTTGATTGAGGTTAACAAGAAACAAGAACATCGATTCCCAATTTTGAGGTCATTGATTTTGTGGATGTCCATCAGTGAAAGGGACATAATTCATGATATTGTGATTATCTCTTCACTTCTTGGGCTGCTTGATTCACTTTCTTAGACTTATTTTGAAGTTGGACTTGTTTGGGCTCTTAATACATGCATACGTAAACTAATTTTCTTATATATATATATATATATATATATATATATATATATATATATATATATATATATAGGGGTGAGATCGGTTGAGAACTCATAGTTTCCCGAAAACCTGAGAACTAAAGGTGGAGAGTTAGATCAAAATTAATCCATTAAGGATTATATAAGGTATAAACAAGAATGGGAAAAGGGCATCCATTAAGCCCAACAAAAAAAAGAAGACAAGAATTACAAGTTTTAATTATACCTTTTTGTGAATAAAGATTTCACATATAGTGCTTCAAATTAAGAAGCACTATATGTGGTCATCAAAGAAATCGTTCACTGTTAGTCTGTTACACTCTCAAACTTCACGGCAGCATATGCGGTTATGACACCAACGACTAAATTTACATTGGCAACTTTAGCTAATTCACTAACAATTGGTTCCAATAATCGATTGCAAATTTGGATCGATAGATTAAGAGCGATGATGGAGTTTCATTTGATCATCATTTAGATTTCATTGAACTCAAATTCAACAACGATGGAGTCAATGATTGTATCGTCGGTGGAGGATTCAGATAGATCTTCCAAATCGATTCAATATTTATATTAGAATCAACACCTGAAAAAGATCAAATGCAATAAAAGAAGAAAATCGAACCTGAACACTAGATCGATGTTGAGGATACTAGATCAATTACATGGTGGCGATATTGGTGGAGCACCGGTGTGTCGTTGGAGGGAGAAACCAATGGAGAGTGATGAGAACACGATTTATCTTTATACGATTTCTTCCCCAATGGTGTACACACCAACAATCGATTCCATAGATCGATTTCATATTTAGATCGGTATACGATTTCTTCCCCTGTGGTGTACATGATGGGTTTTGAGCATTACATCAATCCTATGGTGCACATCCAAACCCTAATGCTTGGATCTAGTTTTTCTATTTGTAAATGCAATAATTGTCCAAGACTTGCAAATCCTAATCTAGCATACAACAAAATCGAAATCAACATAAATAACTAGTAAGAATGTTACCTTTCAATTGATGCTTGAAGATCTTGAGCTTTTGAGAACCTAGCACCTCAAATGTGATGCCTCTAGTAGATCACAAACACCAAAGCAATTGGAGAATGCAAGAGAGAGGGGGAAGGTAATTTTCGGCTCTTGGAATCCTTCTAGGGTTGTGGTCGCCGAAAATTGGATGCCAAGGGGTTCTATATATAGGTGAGGAATTAGGGTTTCAGTCAAATACCTAATCTGGTTGCTTAAGCCCTAAGTAGCCCATAGGAATATTCCAGAACCCTAGCCTTGGACGAATTCTTATGGGCTATCCATAAGATTTCGTCCACCCCTATCTTTAGGGATCCTCAGCCCATATTGCAACTATCTCATAATTACAATATGAGTCCCCTTAATTCAATTAACCTCTTTTGACCACAAAATTAATTCTAAATTAATTATTGACCAATGTTAATTAAATAATATGATTTCTCTTTTAATATATTATTCAAATAATAT